CAAGGAATTGAATATGATAACTTAATATTTCATCGTTGGGAGATGTGGCCAGAAATTGATTTGACATGGAGTGGAATTGGAAGCTGTTATTAATTATTAATGTCATTTGATTGAATCTATCCTTGCTTTTCCTATGTCAGTGACGTGGAATATTACATGCACCTATTCTCAGTTCCTCGCTCAGAAGACACCCACTTGTTGTGTTTCCCTCTCTTCCTTCTACAATGATACTATAGTCAACTGCCCAACCTGCACTTGCGGATGTCAAAACAACACGGCAGGTTCTGGGAGCTGTGTGGAGTAAGTTACCCTTTTGCTTTGTTGGTCATTTTTCTTTCAACATTCTGTTTGTGGTTGGGGTGAAAGATTGAAACTATTTTACTCAACCCAATAATCTATTTCCGCTCAAATTATCTTTTGCAGTCCGGACTCTCCATATTTAGCTTCAGTAGTATCAACTCCTGATAAATCAGGCAGCAATGCGCCCTTGGTTCAGTGTACCAGCCACATGTGCCCGATTCGAGTCCATTGGCACGTGAAGCTGAATTATAAGGATTACTGGAGGGTGAAGATCACAATCACCAATTTCAATTACAGAATGAACTACACACTCTGGAATCTCGTGGTGCAGCATCCCAATTTTGATAACATTACTAAATTATTCAGCTTTAACTACAAGTCGTTGAGCCCATATGGTGACCTAAGTAAGTAATCTCTGAAAATATCTGTTCTTATATAATGTTGACCGGAAAGAACCGGCATTATACAATTTATTTTCTCAACTTAGTGGCTGGTAACTATGGTACTGTTCTGCAGATGATACTGCGATGTTGTGGGGAGTTAAATTCTACAATGATCTGCTCAATCAAGCTGGCCCTCTTGGTAATGTGCAATCTGAGCTCCTATTTCAGAAAGACCAGAACACTTTCACTTTCGACAAGGGTTGGGCTTTTCCAAGAAGAGTTTATTTCAATGGTGATAACTGTGTGCTGCCACCTCCAGATGCCTATCCTTATTTGCCAAATGCCAGTTCCAGACCAGCTATATCTCTACTTATGACCATCTTAATATCTTTGACATTACTGTTGAATTTTGCACAATAAGTTACATCTACGGGGAACAACAAACGCTATGGTTGCTCTGACACTCTAGATTTCCCACGAGCTTGTAGCAATCTAGTCTTTAGTGTCGATTCTACTGGTGCTTAAATCAAAGGCAATATGAGCTAGTTCCTGTTTGTGGATCGGTTATTTGGTTCAACTTCATTTTTGTTTAGATTTGGAGCGAATTGTGTTGTACAAATAGCTATTGTACATGTTCAGTCATTTTGTTTGTATAATGGTTACAAAATATTGGTCGCTCGATGTAATAACTTATGAGACAGTTCAAATTTTCCATAGAGTGCCTGTTTTCTGCATAATTTCTTGGTTATTTAAGTTAGTGGAACATGATGGAATAATTTCATTTAAACCAGACTATGTATTACAAAACCAAAAATAGGATTTGGACTATCGAATCATGTCTATACTGAATTTCTTGTGAAGCACACTGGTAAGAGAGGATATTTTTACTCAAGATAGTTGACTTCAGACAACTCAGAAACAACAAACATTGATTTATCTGGCGAGTATATATGTATTCTATGACCAATAATATCTGCATGCATACCTGTGTTCATTGTAGTTCTGCAGTTTTTCTCTTGAATTTTGAACATGTGCAGATCTTTGAAGTTCATCAGGCACGAGAAGAATGACCACTGATTACAACAAAAACCAGAGTATCAAAAGCAAAGTGGCGGTGAATTTGGCTACTGCACTCGAGCCTCCAGGCGCAGAGTTGGGTAGAAACGGGTACGATTCTGGTGGTGGCATCTGACATTCGTCGCCATTGAAGTATACTTTTCTAGGAAATGCCCAACCCTGCTTGAAGGTAAAGGTATCCTTATCCTTCTTCAATAGTACTTCAGATTGTACATTTCCAAATGGCCCTGCTTCCATTAATAGATCATTGTAGAATTTCATGCCATAGAACATGCCGGTATCGTCTGCACATTGAATTTTGTAGTGCAGTTATGTCAGTAAAGACTTAGATAATAACCTTACATTTACATTGAAAGCATAAGGATTGTGGTACTCACTGATGGATTCATAGGGAACAAGGGGCTTGTAGTCAAAACTAAAGACTTGAGTTACATTGTTCAGATTTGGATGCTGCACTGCCAGTGTCCACAGTGTATAGTTCATCCTATAGTTGAAGTTAGTGACAGCAACCTTCACACGCCAGTAATCCTTGTAATTAATCTTTACGTGCCAGTGTACTCGAATAGGACACATGTGATGAGTGCATTGTAGTAAAGGTGTGTTATCCTTTTTAGGAGTGTTTATTCCTTCCTTGTGCAATAGCTTTGAGTCACTCCTGCATAGTGGGATTAAAGGAAAATAGATGTAGTTATGATCTCTAGCAACTATGCTGAAGATGAGTAAATTAGTTGAAAAGTAACGTTAAAGACATTTGACACAAGGTTACGGTTCCTTCTAATCGGACAACAAGAAGGTTTCCTGTAACAGCCCAAGCTCATTGCTAGCAAATATTGTCCTCTTTTGGCTTACCATTTCGGGTTTCTCCTCAAAGTTTTTAGAGCCAGACACTAGATGGTATGTCAGCAGGGATGCTGGTCCCCAAGGTGGAGGATTGTGAGATCCCATATCGGTTGGAGAGGAGAACAAAATATATTCTTTATAAGAGTGTGGAAGCCTCTCTCTAGTAGACGCGTTTTAAAGTCCTTCAGGAGAAGCCCGAAAGGGAAAGCTCAAAGAGGATAATATTTGCTAGCGGTGAGCTTGGGCTGTTACAACACCTGACACAAGGTTACGGTTCCTTCTCATCTGACAACAAGAAGGTTTCCTATTCTAATCTGATGTTCTAAGTATATTAATTTTTATACTGCAGACTACAGTCATGGTATAGCTGTTCCAAGGACAGAGGGTCTGATCTGACCAAGGAAATGTGATCTATTTTAGGATCAAGGAACGCATGAGTGCCAAACCCGTTATTTTTCTTTTTAAATTGATTTATTTTTATGTTTGGGAGATTCATGAAACACGTTCGTTACCATCTGGAGTAGAGAAAGAAGCCTTACTTTATACAATTATGTTTGTGTTGGCAGCCACAGGCGCAGGTTGGGCAAGAGGTGATCGTCTCATTGTAGAAAGTTGAAAGTGATACGCAGCAAGTTGGGTTCTTAGAGGCCAGAAATTGTGAGTAAGTGCAGGTTACATTCCATGTCACTGCATTAGATGGAGCATGAATCAACTTCACGAGGATGAAGGAAAAAAAAAAAAAAAAAAAAA